TCATACGTAGTGAGGAGGTAAAATTATTAACAAGATAATCAACCTCTGTTGGAGTAGCGTTCAGATAGCTGCTCTGCTCTGTGTTGGTACAGGGCATTGAAGATGATAATTATATTCTTAAATTTAGTTACAGTAGATGTCTTTCAGAAAGACATCTACTGTGATGAAGTCTACTCCCCACTGCTGTGTAATCAATTATTGTAAATTTAAATGTAATTAGGAAATGATCAGACAGGAGAGGGTTTTCAGGAAAAACCCTTAAATGTTCTGTTTCTATGCCATATGTTAAAACAAGATCTAGAGTGTGATTAAAGTGCTGGGTGGGTATATTTTCAATAATGGCTTCTATTGTAGTTAGGCGATGTATAGAACTGATATCTTTCTTTTTTTTGAAGTGATAGATTCCTTTCACTTGTGATATCTGCACTTATGGGTGGGTGGCGACCTTTTCCCAATGTGTGCTTAACATTAAAGCTGCATTATGAACAACAGGCACTAGTCATTGGTTTGACACATTAAGTTTAAAATAAGCTGTTTGCTGATTAAATGTCAAGGGATAATATGATTTATCCGTGAATACTGGTCAGGGTAAACTAAGTCATTCCAGTTTGTGTAAATTGATGTGAATAGAGCTCAAATTGTGCCATTGTGTGGTGTAATGTTGTGTATCATTTAGATTTAAATAAAATGGTTCATGGAAAAAGAAATTCAATTTAAAACAAAATGTCATTTAATCATTTGAAATGATCATTATTAGAACATTAACTTTGTAAAGTTCGTGGAAAAAAATTATAATAAAAATAAACAAAAGATAAAATCATTCTCATAAATTGTGTCAAATGATTTCTGTTATGTTCTCCAGAAAGCCCAGTGGACGTGGGGATGTAACAGAAAAAATGTCTGGGTTGAAAATGGATACAAGGTGGCAAAACTGGGAATAAAATAATGGTTAATAATTAATCTAAAACAGAAAAGTAAAGATAACAGAACCTACATGTAGGACACAAAAACCATAAGCCAAAAGGTTAGTCAAAGCACACTCCTATCCTCAGGTGTAGTTTGCCACAAGCACACACAGAGCTCACAGAGCAAAGGTACACTGAACCTCTCCTCTCCCTGACCTCAGAAACTCTTAGCCCTAATTACAGAGTGATATCAGCTGCAAAGACAGCAAGTCATACCCACAGGCGCAAAATCACAGTAGTAGCCTAATTAAACAACTGTGAATGAATAAATAATGTCTTTAATATATAGGAGATAAACAGCATCTGTTTAAATACATGTTGAATAGCCACGATGTACACAGATGTTATGGTTGGGTTAGGGACAGAAAAACTATGTAAAGAATTCTGAATATGAATAATAACTATGACAATATTCATTTAATACCAATGCCTTGGCTATACCCTCAAAAATAAATTTATCTACTTAATAACGGTCAAACAGGGAAACACCAAGTCAGCTGCAGTTTAAATGTCGACTTAAACTAATTCCATTACCTATACGTTTTCCATTGATTGTCTTCCAAAAGAATAATACAAAATTTTATATTTAATGGAGTGTGGTGAAATTAAATGTACTTGATTTGAATGCATTCAGCATGGTTTCCTTAAATAAACCTTTCATTTATATATTTCAGATGCATTTACTCAAATATTGCTTCTTAGGAGTGAAGAATCATTTGTTCCACTGATGTAAGTGGATTTCAGAGGAAGTGCAATCTGTTTTCTTTCCGTTCTCCTTATGGCAAAATATGTTTGGGGTTTTTTCTTTCTTTTTTCATTTTCTGTTTGTTGGCTTTTTTGTGAGTATTTGCTTTTACACCTTTTGGTCTTTCAGAGAGATGTTGGAATAAAAAAATATTTCTTAGGAGTCATATTAGGAAAAAAATGTGGGATTTCTTTTTACAGCCAGCTCTTACTTATGGATGAAATAAAGGAATAACCTAGAATAAAAGCGCCACTGCTTCATTTTGCCAGTGAGCTGCATGTAGGGGTTACTCTCCAATATTAGTGTATTACATTACATTACCCTCCAATGATAGCTGACAGTTTCAAACTTTACACCTCCCATTCGTCCTTCCTCCAAAGCATGGACCTCCTGATCGTGGTTTCCTATATTGATATGTTTATGAGGACATGACAATTTCTGATGATTGAATGAGGGTTGGCTAGTCTTACTGTTTTGTGTGTTTTAAGAACTGAAACACACACACACACACACACACACACACACACAGAAGAAACAACGGAAAGAAAACCCCAGACTTATCAGGATTAGTCAATAAGGGATGAATCAGTTCATCTTGGATCTTTTAATCAATGTACAGAAAATGGGGAAATGGGACAGTGATTTTAATAAGCCAAAACATCTGGGCTGCTTTACCAAGATAAATGCTGAAAACAAGGCTTTCCTATAAGTAATATGTGCTATCTAACCCGACTAATGAGTCACTGCTGTTAAATTTACTTTCTCTCAGTTATTTGCATGTGAAAATTACAAAGTAGGAACCTTAACACACCGCACCTTTGTGTAGGAGCTGGAAGCGCAGTTGTGGTGTGTCACAGTTTTTGTGCCTCCACCCAAAATGCAGAGTGACCGCTTGCCCATGGCATTCTCTAACCATGCCGATACCTGCAGAAACCCGATGTACACTAAGAGGCAGAACAGGCAAGTGAGTAAGTTTTCCCCCTGAAGTGTCCTTCTGCCTCATTGCCAGCAGAAACTGGTTTGAGATATAGGAGGAGATATGTGGGGGTACGTTTTTAAAATGGACTGGCTTCTTCACCAAGGAAATATGTATATAGATTTTGGAGTTCGCTGGTATCATGTTCCTGGTTAATAAAAGTAATTAAAGTAATACTTTCATAATTTTTGTTATTTCAGATTCAAGTTTACTTTCTATTTTATAAAAATGTTCAGGTCATAAAACTACTTACACATGTCTGAGATTTATAAGTAACTGTTAAGTCGAGTTTTATTGTCAACCCAACAAAATACACTCAAGTATACAGTGGGACGAAATATTGTCCTCCTGGATCAAAGGTGCAAGCTTGTAAAAATAAAAATGAAAAAAATCAAATATACATGTACATGTTATACAACTTTACAGAAATAAGATAAACTAAGAAAAAACACAACAATATTGTACTTGAATAGAAATAGAATAAGAATTGAAAAGAATGAGAATAAATCAATTTAGGACAATTTTATGCCCCCGACTTGGTGGGAACAGTTTGGGGATGGCTCCTTCCTCTAGGAAGGTGGCTGAGGGCTAGTGATTGTCAGAATAAAACAACAAAGATCCATGAGTGACTCAGGAAGATCGCCACAACTGATCAGTTGCTTACCTCAGTATGGCCTGGAAGTCCTGAGGTCAAAATGGAACCGGCCCCCAAGGGTGGTTGAAAATGACTAGCTAAGACCCTGTGCGAACAGATTCAGACAGACCCGAACATGAAGGATTAATCGCCTGCACAGCAAGTGGGGAATATCTATGTTACGTTTAATGGTGGCTCATCAAGTTATGCTCATCACTTGCTTATTTAAAATAATAAAAATGTAACAACTGTTCTCTAGAAACTATTTGACTCTTGTCAGGATTATCATATTAAATGCAAAGTCTGCCAGCAAACAAGAAGTCAGCTGGCTCATGTAATGAGTCAGCTCTCCAAATTAGGACTCTAAATAAACACTACATAGCAGATCCAACATGAATACATCGTTTTAAAGACTCCAGGATGGCATGCTTTTTCAGCCAAACACAGTGTTTTGCAGAAACTTGCTTGAGCGCAGTTTGTCTCCCTGCAGATATCCTAAGAAGACTTACTTTTCATTTGTTGTGAACACTTTTACTACGGATTGCATTTTTGAAATCTTAAAAAAAGAAATTAGATCTGTTTGACCTCTTTCTGTCCACAATCATTGTTTTTGTACATGAGTTTCACATGGTTT